ACCGAACCAGCTTTTCTTAAACTGAGATCCCTGGACCTGCATCAAAATCACCTAAGACACTTGTAAAAGAAAGAGAGAAAGAGAGAAAGAGAGAGAGAAAGAAAGGAAAGAGGAGAGAGAAAGAAAGAAAGAGAAAGGAAAGAGAGGAGAAAGAAAGAAAGAAAGAAAGAAAGAAAGAAAGAAAGAAAGAAAGAAAGAAAGAAAGAGAAAGAAAGAAAACCAAGCAAGCCCTATAACCCCAGACCTACTGAACAGAATCTTTAGGGCTGAGACCTTGGAATATAGATTTAAAACAAGCCACTCTGGTTATTCTTCTGTATAAGAACATTTAGAAATAGTGACCTATACTCCCTGTCTCACCGCCTTGCCTTTGCTTAAGTGATTTCCTTGTTTGGAGTAGTCTTTCCTCCTGTGTAGAATTCTTACACATTTTTTTTTTTTTTTTAAATCAAGAGCTACCTCTTTCTAAAAGCCTTCCTGGATTCTCCCAAATTGAAGTTCATTTCGTATCTTCTTTGTTGCGGGTATCACAGTCTATCTTGTAGAGTTTTGCTCGTTTCCCAACAAGCAGTAAGCTCCTGGAGGGCAGTGATTACCAGTTATCCTAATAACTATCCTCAGTACCTGACAAAATACTTTGTGTATAATGGGCACTAAAAGAATATTTGTTGAATCTGGAGAGATCCTCTAATTACTTTTTTCCGGTAAACCGTGTTGTTCTGACTTCCCCAGAAGAGCACAGATTCCTTCATGGTACACATGATCAAGTTCAGGGTGATAGAGGACAGTACTAATAAACATGACTAGCCTGAGTTCCTACTGCATCAGAATAGGGATGGTGTGTTTGTGTGTGGTTGTGGGGAGCTGCTTTGCTATCCCAGTTTCTTCCTCATCCTCTCTTTTGGATATCCTCTGTAAGGCCAGTTGAACAAATTTCCTAAAGTCCCAGTTAAATCCACAGCAGTTAAGAGAAGAAAATGCTGCAGTTGTATTCTGGGTTGGTTTACTTTCAGAAAACAGATTTGATCATCTCACTAAAGAAACAGCTTTCATAACACGATCCTGTTTGTCCCCTGGGACTCCAAGATAGAATTACATGCATCTTCATGTGAGGAACAAAGCTGTGGACGTGAACTCCATTTTCCGGGGAGGGAGTTCCTCCAAGCTGCACTGCCCCTGTCGCTGACATTTTAGACACTTCTGTGGTTTTAGATGACTTTTAATCCCCAGCCTCGCTTCTCCATCGGCTAGTCTACTGGATCAGGCATTGCCCAGACTGTTGGCCATATGACATCATGCACACATGGGCTCTCTCCAGTTTTCTTATATGCTGGAGGGTGATAAAGAAAAGGTGTTAGAGGCACCTGGAGGGTCTAAGTAGTGGGGACTTAGAAAGGGATATAATAACTGAGGGTGATAGCACGTTTTGGGAGTTTCTCCAAATATTAAATCACTGCTCCTTAAAAGTATTACATTGATTATTTGGCCTCAGGCAACAAGGTTACACTGAGAATATCATTGATTTGGCAGGTGAAATCAGATTTTCAGTGGGTAGGTTAGGATTCATGAAAGCAATAGTGCTTATGAAGGTGTGGTGGAAGAGACGGGATCGCTGTCACAGAGGGAGACTCCTTACACATTTAAGGAGACTCATCATTTCAGTGTTTTTGCCTTTAGCCTTCTAATAGCTGGAGAAGTAATAAGAACTCCAGATGGCCACAATTTGTCACCTAATGAAAACATAGAATTCATAAATGAGCAGATCAGAAAATTTTAAAGTTAGGCAGAGGAAGATTTCTCTGTTCGCTGTACCTCTCCACAGCATATGCAGGGTTATAAAATGACCAGAGAGAAAGAGAAGAGGTCGTTGAATTTGGTGACAGGAGCTGACTGCCTCCAAGAGCAAATTTGGTGAAAATTCATGGGGAATGGGATGGGGGTAGTCAAGTGGAAATGGGGGATGGAGGTAGTACGTATCAGTCATTCCTTGAGGAACTGGCTTGAAAAGTAAAGAAAATGGTAATTCTAGCAGCTGGATAAAAACAGAGGGTACAATTCCAGTACCCAAAGAATTCCCTTGTGCTGACCCTTTGTAGTCAGACCCTCCCTCCACCCCTAATCCCTGGCAACCTCCCTATAGGTTTTTTTTCCTCAGAATGTCCTATAAATTGAATCACATAGCATGTAAATAACTAGCTTCTTTCACTTAGCATGATGCCTATGTCATTTTAAGAAATATTTTCAAATGTAAAGAAGTTCCCAACCCTAAAACAAACAAAACAGGTAGGGGCCTGAGAAAATTAATGTAGGGAACATGAGTTAGGAACATAAAGATTTGTAAGTTTTTTTATTTCTGAGACAGAGAGAGACAGAGCATGAGTGGGGGAGGGGCAGAGAGAGAGGGAGACACAGAATCAGAAGCAGGCTCCAGGCTCTGAGCTGTCACCACAGAGCCTGATGCGGGGCTCGAACCCACAAACTGTGAAATCATGACCTGAGCCGAAGTCGGTTGCTCAACCAATTGAGCCACCTAGGCGCCCCAGGAACATACGGATTTGTAAACAGACATTTATCTCATGAAGACTGTTTCCGTTCTCTCAAAAATTAGGTGAACTGATAGTGTTGAATGAGTGGTGGAAAGGATGGAGCGCAGGGCAGTGGTGACCTACACCCAGTGTATGTTTTGTTTTATCAAACCAGCCTTTTTTTCCTTCTCCCATATCCCCCACCTCCTCTGGGGAGCGCGAGTGGGGGCAGAAATACAGTCACCTACACACATCCACCTACGTAAATCCATGTGCCTCCGTTTTCATGGCATAAGCATTTCATTTATACAGAGGTCATCGGTGCATATCATATTCAACTTCAGACTTAGTTGAGGGCTGTGAGATGGCATGTGGTGATACCAGGACTTGTAATCCAGATCCATACACTTCGTTTCTCAGTCCAAGGTTTATTTTGCAAGACTTTCCTTTCTAAATTTTATATCGTTTTCCTTTCAGTTAATAGGAATTTAAAAATTAAGAATTAAAAATTATAGCATGTAAAAAAATTGAACTTTTGATATCTAGCAATGGAATTTTATGTAAAATGTTAGTATGTAAAATATTAGTAATCATATCTGTACATAATATCTATACTTTGTTTTTTGGTAGTGTTGATTTATTTTGCAAATTAAGTTATTTTTTTTTAAAGGTGCTTGCTAATATCATACTCACTGATTCCTCTGAAGACTTTTCCTTTTTCATTAGGAATTGACTGGCTTTTGTTTTCCTTGTTTTTTTTTTTCTTCCTATAGTTGTGATAATCAATGCATAGATAATATTATTTCCCACAAAAAGAGAATAGCAGGTGGGGTTTTTTTTGGGACATTTATCACATTTATCAATTATTACCTTCACCTAACTATTTTTCACCCATGATAATTAATGCATTCGTGTCCTCATATACGTTGACCACATATTCTGCTGATGACATAATTTATAGGGAGATGTAAGGAGTTGTTACCATATACCAGCCGTCTTCAGAGGAGAGTGAAGCATTCTATTGCAGGTTACTCTTGGTGCTAGCAGTGAGGTTATTAGAGATCCAGCGTATAACTCTTCTGCCATAAAGAGATTTTTATTGTATCTTGCATTTGTCTGGAGGGCAGTTACCTGATACTTCTCATATATCTAGAAGTCAGAATATAAGCCCTCAGGGTGGTCAAAATTTGCTAAAAGTAAATATGATAAACCTTGTGCCGACTCCCCATGACAGGTACTTTACATACATTGCCCTGTTTAATCCCCATATTAATCTTACATGGTTCTCATTACTGTCACATTTTACAGAAGAGGCAGTTGAAGGTTTAGACATCTAGAACTGGGGTTTCAACTTGGGTTTGTGTGCCCCTCAGGATCCTCATTCTGAGTCCTTTATTCCCATATTCAGGCATTCAATATTTTTTTTAGTACCAGTGTTTTTTCAGTACCTACTTTTGACAAGCCCCAGGTATCTGGGATTAAAGACAAATATACAGAGTCCTAAGGAATTCCTTTATCTGTTTTTTGTTTTGTTTTGTTTTGTTTTGTTTTGTTTTGTTTTTGGCTACAGTGAATAAGAAACAGACTAGAAAAGAGATAAGTCTTGAGGACAGAGACCCAGTGTATCTCATCTACTAAGGCATCCACGGGGCAGCACGTAGTTGGAGCTCAGTAAATACATGTTGAACAAATGAATGACATTATTGAGAAGTAATAGCTAGCTAGGAGAGAAAATGAAGTACAGAAAGGACATGAAAACCAAACAGCAGAACTGTCTTGGACCATTTAGTGTTTGAATAAGCAATTGCATACCTCAGTGGCCCCATGGAGTATGAGGAGCCTTCAGTGTGCTGACTCATGTCCAGAATGATGGCATGGGGCCACTAAGTGACTCAGGTGATCTGGGCTCTCTGCAACAGGGAGAAAGTCACCCATGAACGTGACACCCTGCTCAAAAAGCAAGGAAGTATACAAAACATTTTAGAAAAGTTTTCATAAAAACTGGCTCTTGACCCCTTAAATACTAAACTTCAGTTTTGGGGAAGAATCACATAGGTGGAGGAGCTCTTTCCCTAATAATATTGAATAAAGGGGTATTTATAATATAATTTGTTTTCTTTCCCTGATAAATTATAACATTAAATTTTCATACCAAATGAAATCTTTAATAATTCAAGTTACATTCTTTGGAAGTTACCTTATGAAGTACTATATATAATATATAGCATATAAAAATCTATAATACTGTAACAAGTGAATAGATTGCATAAATAAGAAAATTTTGATTAATATCATTTTAAAGAATTATGACATGTTGAAATAATTCATATTTGGAGTATCATTTAGTATATGTAAGGACAAAAGTGGGGAAATTAGGAAACTCTTGAAATGATTTCAGTTTCATCATTCAGCAGCATCGATGCGCTACTTTCTTGGTCCAAGAATGTCTATTAACAGTGATGTTTTGCCTTACAGCTTTTCTGGGAGAAGAGGCTACAAGGACTTAGTGCATCAGATGTAACAGAACAAATTATAAAAACCATGGAACTACCTAAAGGTCTTCAAGGTATTATCCAAATTCAGTTGAGCAGTACCTACTATGTGCCAGGCTCTGTGTTAGATGCTGTGGGAGTCAGAAGTGATTGAGACAGGGTCTTTACTTTGGGGGATTGTGTGCCTTTCTGGATGATGTCCCTCTTGTGTTGGTGTAAACCCAGGGAGAATGTACTTGAAGAGCTTGTACAGTGTTGCAGGATGTTTCCGATTTTTTTCTGTGTAAGAATTTTGGCTTTAGGTTAGGTTCACAGTATAAATCGACCCATGTGCTGCTTTTAGAACCAAATGCAGCCGAGTGGCAGAATTTCTCAAGCTTCCTGCTCAAAGCAGCATCTGGCTTCAATGCTTGCTCTTTCACTCTTCCTTTTATCAGAAGAACAGCTAATAACTCTTCTGTCTCTCCCTGCACAGACTGCTGCTGCATGTAGCAGTGGGAACTGAGGCACTTTGGCCCAGTAACAGCAGCAAGTGGGGTCTGTGGGGTATAGAAATCAGTTAACTAGTGTGCCTGTCATATCCCATGTTAATTCCATTCCAGAGGAGCGTTATTTTTCAAGTATATTAGAACTTCAGCTTCCAAATGTTGATCTAGTGTGGGTTGCTCAAAAATTGTCATAATTCATGGCTAGAACATTATCGCATCCCTCTCTTTTCTTGGAAATTATTGCTTTCACTGGTTTCATAACTTTAGGACTTCAAGCAGTGCATTTAAATGCGGTCCTGGTGCCAGTCACGGTGTAGGTAGCGTAGGTAGTCACGGTGTGCAATTATTAATTGGTTAATATTAATTGGTTATTATTGGTTATTATTAATTGGTTAACTTGGATATTTTGTTAGGTATTTGAAAAGGATGTGAGAGCTGCAGGTACAGCATGCTTGCGTTGGCTTTTCCTGTGAAGTCCCAAACAAAAGAAAAGTGTTGAGATATTGCCAGAAATTAATATTGAAACCTACAGGAGTAACTATTGTAGGACTTGAGGGATGCATTAATAGGGAAACTCAAATATGATGTGACTTTAGAAGGGATTTAGATCATTAAAATAATTGACCCTGCTTGAACAAACGTAGCCAACTTTAAACAGTTTAGTACCTTGGAGAATGTATTTTGAAGTTGTGTTAAAGTTTTATTAAAATGCTCAACCATCTTGTTACTTTTTTTTTTTTTGGAATGTTAATTCTCTGGTATATGATAACTGTTCAGTAGATACGATATCATCCTTTTAAATATATGATCCCAAACAAGCATAAAAATGTCAGTTGTTTTAGGTTATGTAAGATTTGCTTAGCACATCTGGAAGTCCCTTTAACCAGTTTGTATTTCTGATCGCAGGAGTTGGTCCAGGTAGTAATGACGAGACCCTTTTATCTGCTGTTGCCAGCGCTTTGCACACAAGCTCTGCGCCAATCACAGGGCAGATCTCCCCTGCTGTGGAAAAGAACCCCGCTGTTTGGCTGAACACATCTCAACCCCTCTGCAAGGCTTTCATTGTCACAGATGAAGACATTAGGTAAGGCAGTTATAATATAACTCCTATTTGATAAACTTTATACTGCCTCCTAGTTTCTGTGGCACATCTGGTTAAGTGATGAATCGATCAGAAAGTTACACTTTTTTTTTTTTTTTTTTTTAATAACTTGTGAAACTAATGGAAGGTGATATAGGACATTTAAAACAAATACATGCTTGAAAAAAGCTGGAAGTATCATCACGGTCATGTCTGAAGGACACATCAGTTGTACTCTCTACACATTGTTACTGTAGTGTCTTTTGCATTTTGGGGTTCTGCCTTTCTGCTGTAAAGAACCCCTTTCAGGGGCGCCTGGGTGGCGCAGTCGGTTAAGCGTCCGACTTCAGCCAGGTCACGATCTCGCGGTCCGTGAGTTCGAGCCCCGCGTCAGGCTCTGGGCTGATGGCTCAGAGCCTGGAGCCTGTTTCTGATTCTGTGTCTTCCTCTCTCTCTGCCCCTCCCCCGTTCATGCTCTGTCTCTCTCTGTCCCAAAAATAAATAAACGTTGAAAAAAAAATTTTTAAAAAAAAAGAACCCCTTTCATTCAGTGATGCCTTTTGTGATTGCTTTTTGCATTGGTTTGTCTGCAAACCAGTGTCTTCTTTAAAACAAATTGTAACCATGCTGCTTTAAGCTGACTTGTGCTTTCAAAGGTCAGTTTGCTTATCTTGATTCTGTTTACTCTCTTAGGCTTAGTTTAGAGATTTATTCATTTCTGCTTCATCTTGTTTCAGGTAAAGATTTAAGGTGGCGCCAAACACACACACACACACACACACACACACACACACACACACACACACACACACACACACACACACACACAAGCTCGGTGAGAAGCAAATGGCAAATATCAAGCAAAGGGTAAAGCATAAAGTGGTAAAACAGAGCCCGGGGTAAGGAGAGGACACGAGGTTCATTTCTTAACCTCTTTTACTCCAGGACTGCTCCACAAGTTAGTTTTTAGCAGCAAATAGTGAAAAGAAAATGTACAATTCAGATTGATAATGCCCAGAATGTATGAGCAAACCGTTGCTCAAAAGAAGCAAACTATTCCAGATATTCAGAGCAGAAAGAAATTGTTATATGGGATTTATGAACTGGAATATCATTGCCTTATAATGAGATTGTAGTGCACTGTATTTTCTTTAAAAATAGGACAGTGCATATCTTTCACCATTTCTATCCTCTGAATGTTAAATCAGAAAGTTTTATTAGAGTATTATTCCTAGACAAAACCAGCAGATGGCAGTTTTGAATCATAGAATTTTAAAATGTTTATATTTGTATTTTTTTTCTAAATCCATGAAAAGGTGGCATGAAAATGTTTTTAAATGCGTGAGTCTACCTAGGTTTGTAATTGTAAAGCACTTGCTAGGTTTTAAAGTAGTTCCTTTTGCAAAGATGTAAAAGATGTAAAATGACTCAAAGTTGCATTCACATGCATTGATTGCATGGAATTTAATCAGCTTTATTTTTTTTTTTTAATTTTTTTTTAACGTTTATTTATTTTTGAGACAGAGAGAGACAGAGCATGAACAGGGGAGGGTCAGAGAGAGGGAGACACAGAATCTGAAACAGGCTCCAGGCTCTGAGCTGTCAGCACAGAGCCCGACGTGGGGCTCGAACTCACGGACCGTGAGATCATGACCTGAGCCGAAGTCGGCCACTTAACCGACTGAGCCACCCAGGCACCCCTGATCAGCTTTATTTTTTAAGAAAAAAAAAATGTAATTCAAGAGGAGGAAGCGACTTGCCCTTTGGTTTATTCTTACCCTTGAGGAAGGAAATTACCCTGGAGACAGGTTCTTACCTGTCTTGGAATGAATACCGGGTAAATCAGTAGGGATTCTGCCAGGTCACTGTGGGCGTAGACTGAGGGCCTCTGGGTGATGTCATGGGAATGCTGATGCCTTCAACAGCAGATCTTTTGATAGTAGAGCAGACTCTCTCAAAGCCAGATCTCCATGATTTCCTTTTAGGGTAAACTTGTTTAACAAATTATCCATTTGATTTAATTGTCATAACAGAAATTATTATGCACACATTTCTTGTTGAATTAATACAGGTTCAAAATTATTGCTAATGGAATTATTACCCTTTCTCTAATTGTGCAGCCAATATTCTGTTTAATTGTTTTTAATGCTTTTTTTTTTTTTTTTTTTTTTTTTTTTGAGGGGGGTGGGAGGAGCAGAGAGTGGGTGGAGACAGAAGATCTGAAGCAGGCTCTGCGCTGACAGGAATGAGCTGATATGGGGCTGGAACTCACAAATCGTGAGATCATGACCTGATCCGAAGTCAAGACACTCAACCGACTGAGCTGTCCTGGTGCCCTGCCAATATTCTGTTTATATTAGACCTTCAGTTAAAGATCTAAACATTGGGGCACCTGGGTGGCTCAGTCGGTTAAGCGTCCGACTTCGGCTCAGGTCATGATCTTGCAGTCCATGAGTTCGAGCCCTGCATCAGGCTCTGTGCAGACAGCTCAGAGCCTGGAGCCTGCTTCGGATTCTGTGTCTCTCCCCCTCTCTGCCCCTCCCCCGCTCATGCTCTGTCTCTCTGTCTCTGAGAAATGAATAAACCTTAAAAAAAAAAATTAAAGATCTAAACATTAAGTATATACTTTTTTCAGCATATTCGATAACATTTTAATCCTTGGATGTTATTTTAATATAAGTAACAAGTCCTCACAAACTTAGCAGCCTAAAACACCACCCATTTATAGCTCACAGTTCTGTAGGCCGGAGGCCTGGGCCTGATATACAAGTCGATTCTCTGCCCAGGGTCTTTCAGGGCGGAAACCAAAGTGTCAGTTGCACTGCATTCCCTTCTAATATCTTCTTTCAAGGTCCTGTGATTTTTGCAGAATCCATTTTCTTTTAGTTGTAGGACTGGGGCCCCTGGTGTCTTGTTGGATGTGGGGTGAGGCTATTCACAGTTCCTTGCTCTGAGGTTCCCTCCACATTTTCTCTCCCAATTTCTTTCAAAAAGGGCGCAGCTTCTTGTAAGAGTTCTTATGAGGTGAGGCCCTCTGGGATAATCTCTTTTGATTAACTCAAGGTCCCATTGATCGGTAGCCTAATCACGGAGGGACATCCCGGCCCATTCACAAGTTCTGCCTCCCTGAAGGGGAGGGAACTGCACAGGGAGTCTCTCCAGGGGCAGGCACTGTTGCAATTCTGCCTACCACCATGGGCAGATGCAGATGCTTTATTTCAGCTTACATAAGTATGGGAAGGAACGCTCAAGACAGAAGAGAATCGATGGCAAACATTAGATTTGCTCTGTTTTCTTCCTAATGGGATTACTCTGGGGCACTGGTGCAGATTCTCATACTCAGTTACTAGGAGTGAGAGATTGCTGATGAGACTGATATGCCATTTGTCATAAACCTTGAGTCAGGGAGCCCAAGGCGAGGCTGACTATGTAAGAAATAAACAATGTTTCTTCTTGACCCTGCTCCAACTACATGAAAATCTGTTCAACTCCAGTTTCTTAACATGGCAGAGGCTTAGTCAGTGACAGCCTTCCTCTTTGTGAAAATTCATGTATAAAGTGGAAGCGTGTACCTTTTAACTCTTTGTGCTGTTTTTTTGACTGCAGTAAAGAGGACATCTAAAGTTTTTGTGGCTGTAGAGTTTTATGTTAGCTTCTCACTTGGGATATAGTCTCAGGAGATCAAGAAACGTGCAGGCTGGGATACAGCACAGCACATGCAGCTTTACAACTGGCTGAGGACGCAAGAGGCACGTCCTCAGGGAAGCTTCACGTGCTCTTCCAGAATGTCGCCCCACCACTTTCCCAGGTTTGAGGCAGTGCTGCACTTCGTTTTCCTCAATATCGACAGAGAAAAATCACCCCCCCCCAGCCCCCACTGTAGAGCCCTCAGTATTGCTTGTTGTGTCTCTTACTTGTCACCGAGCTGTTCCATGTCCCAGTCTACGTCTGTCCTAACCACCTTTCCTCTGGCCTCAAGACGCGATCTGTCCCGCTCTCGAGTCAAGGCCAGCACCCCACTTGTGGCTCTACTTCTTTCCCTGTCTTGGGTTTCCTGAACCTCTTCCTTCCTAGGGTTCCCCCTTCTCTCGGCAGCCGTGGCCTCTTCGCTGGGTTCTGGATGTGAATTGCTACTTACCGTCTTTGCTCAGGAGAGCTGTGTTAGGAATCCCTCTCTCGCACTGTCACGGAGCTACTCTGAAATTTAGTCTGACTTCTAGACACAAAGTACATACCAGTAGACTTTCTTCCCGGGCTTTGTTTCCCACCAAATGGTTCAGAACCTCTTTTTATGACTTGGCGCTATTAACTTTCACTTTTGAGGTCCCACTGCAATCCCCAAGACACAGAGAAACTTGTGGCCTGTTCTTAACCTCTCAGCTCATCTCAGTTGAGATCCTGTTCGGCTTTTTCCTTGGTCTTGGCTTCTTTGTGATGGCCTGCGGTCGGTAGGACTGGGAACCCAGGGAAGAGCTCCGACGGGCTGGCCCCTAACAAAGACAGAATGCGGCACTCCATCGTGCCCCCATTTCCTCCATCTTCCTCTGTGCTTTGTTGAACAAATCTCTTCCCCTTCTTTATTTCCCATATAACTTTTTTTTATCTCTGCTTTCAAGTTATTTCTAATCTCCCTTATAGCAACAGCCCCAAATCTTCACATACTTGAAAGTTTTGAAATTGAAGAAGAGGTCACTGCAATAAATCCACTCCTGCCAGGAATTCTCAGCGAGATGTGGGATACCTGCCTGTCTGAAGTTTCCTCTTTTTGGCAAGGCCCGCCTCCTGTGCGATTTGGCTTTGTGGGTGTAGGAGAAAGTTTTGCAAAGTTAAGGAGAAGGAAATGTACTGTTGGGAGTTTTCGTGATTTTGATAAACTAAACATAAAGTGTAGTAGCAGCTGCATGGTTCCAGTACTTGCCAGATCATCAGTGTGATTTTACTTTTTTTTTTTTTTAAAGGAAACAGGAAGAGCGAGTACAACAAGTACGCAAAAAATTGGAAGAAGCACTGATGGCAGACATCTTGTCACGAGCTGCTGATACGGAAGAAATGGATATCGAAATGGACAGTGGAGATGAAGCCTAAGAATATGATCAGGTAAACTGAGAGCAGAGGGGGAGGGGCTTGCACCTGAAGATGGTTGATTTCTTGCTTTTGCCCTTTGTGGCCTGCCTCAGCAAAGTATAGACGCTCCCCCGCAGGGATGAGCAGGCGCCATTCGGCCTCTTCTGTGTTTAAGAATCACCCTTTTGTCCTAATGATGTGAAGACACTCACAGCCCTGAAGCCACTTGCAAGGAGTCTAACCTCCTCTTGTAATGCCAGGTGGAAGAAAGGAGAGCCGTCGCAGGTGGTGAAGGTGGCGGTCATCCCCGCCACACTATCTTTCTGGGGTCTGTTGTTCCCCGCCTCCCTTTTTTTTTTATTTTTTATTTTTTATTTTTGAGAGAGAGAGGGAGAGGGAGAATGAATGCGAGCAGGGGAGGGGCAGAAGACAGAGGGAAACAGACTCTGAAGCAGGCTCCAGGCTCTGAGCTGTCAGCACAGAGCTTGATGTGGGGCTGGAACTCACACCACGAGATCATGACCTGAGCTGAAGTCAGATGCTTAACGAACTGAGTCACCCAGGCGCCCCTGTTGTCCGCTCTTGAAAATTAGGGCCCTAAAGTAGGTTTTCTCTAGCATAGACTTGATGCAGAGAGACTCAGAAGGACATTTTATTTTTTTAATTTTTTTTTTCAACGTTTATTTATTTTTGGGACAGAGAGAGACAGAGCATGAACGGGGGAGAGGCAGAGAGAGAGGGAGACACAGAATCGGAAACAGGGTCCAGGCTCTGAGCCATCAGCCCAGAGCCCGACGCGGGGCTCGAACTCACGGACCGCGAGATCGTGACCTGGCTGAAGTCGGACGCTTAACCGACTGCGCCACCCAGGCGCCCCAGAAGGACATTTTAAAGGATAATAAATAATTTACCTTACAACATACAAACTTTGACCCTGTCGTGAGCTCACATGAGTGTCATAGGTTCTGTCCTGGTGGGTATATATTCTCTTTAAGTGGCTGTGGTCCAGGCTCCAGGGGTTAATGTGGCATCTTGCTTCCCAACTGCCATCCTGCTTGGTTTCGGCAGACCTTGTCTTACTTTCTGTCCCCTATGAGCCAGTGACTTATTTATGTCTTTTGAAGCCAAAACTGAGGCATTGTGGGGAGAGAGAGAGAGAGAGAAAGAGAGAACAAACAGAGTGAGTTAGAATTCTAACTCCTAGATGTTTTTGAATCTGTCCTCCCCCATCCCTTTCAGTCTATGGACCCACACCTGGCCCCGCTTAGTCATTCTTGCTTTTGGTGCTAGTTCTGGAGACACAGTGGTGGCCACAGTCACACGGTCCCTCTGCTCACGGAACGTGCCATACAGTTGTACTAACCAGACACTCACCACATTCCATAATTACCAACTGTGATCAGTGCTACAAAGGAAAAGCAAAGGTACTGGGGTAGCTGATGGCAGGGGAGCTAACGTGGTGTGAAGGGTCAACAAAGCCTCTGTGAGGAGGTGACATTTATGTTGAGCCTCAAGGGCAAGCAGCGGTAGGCCAGAGTTCGGGATAAAAGTGTTCCCATGTAAAGAAACAGCAAGGAGAAGTCGGTGCCTTTACAGTAGGTCTGGGGAGCACTGGGAGAATGTGTGGAGGCGAATCTTATGCTGATGGGTTGTTGTTAAGGGTTTCCAGCTTTAAAAAAAATTTTTTTTTTTTCCAACGTTTATTTTTTGGGACAGAGAGAGACAGAGCATGAATGGGGGAGGGGCAGAGAGAGAGGGAGACACAGAATCGGAAACAGGCTCCAGGCTCTGAGCCATCAGCCCAGAGCCTGACGCGGGGCTCGAACTCACGGAGCGTGAGATCGTGACCTGGCTGAAGTCGGACGCTTAACCGACTGCGCCACCCAGGCGCCCCAAGGGTTTCCAGCTTTAACATTAAAGCAAATGGGAATCCACTGAAGGCTGAGGAACATGGTCAGATGTGCTTCTGTGCAAGTTCCTTTTGGCTGCCGTGTGAAAGAGAGGATTAGAGCAGGGACAGCCTGGACGCGGGGTGGCCAGTGAGGAGGCTGTTGTAGCCTGGCAGCGAGAGAGATGGTGGCTTCACAGGAATGTTGGCAGTGGGTGCAGAGAAAGAGGAAGAGCAGAGGTCCGTTTGAGAGGTATTTGGAGATAGAATCAGCTTGACCAGGTGACTGATTGGAAGTGATGGGGACGACTCCAGGTTTTTCACTTGAGCCGCCGAGGGATGGCCAGAGGCCTATTTGGTACAGGCACAGACAGGGTATTGTGTGCAGGGACGCTGAGTCAATGGTTCACACAACCTTCCCTTCCCATCAGTGCCTTTGCCGTAACCCAGGGAGCGGCTCATGCCACAGTGATACAGAAATCGTGTAATAATTATAGTGCCTCACATTATGTATTCAGTGATAGCATCTCCACTTGGTGACAGTTTCCTGAACACACAGAACCATGGGAATCCAGTTCAGTGCTATTTTAAGTTTTTTTTTTTTTTCTCCCTTATTGAGGACAGGAAGACGCCATGTTGGTATTGAATCTTGTTTTCCACTCTGGCCGGGATGTGTTTTATGGGCTTTGATGAGTGTGCGTGGTCTGTGTAAGTCCTTCAGAGGAAAAGTCTGAAGCATGTTTCTTCTGTCTGAAGGCTTCAGCCATGCTGTCTCTGGAGCGCAGTGTGGGCATTGGAATGGTTGTGCCTGGATTGCATCAAAAGGGACTCTAGGAGAGCCCTCCTCTTCAGAGCCTTTTAGCATTTGTTGTTTTTCAGACTTTGTCCTGAAGACAATTTAATCAGGGGTCTACTAACTGAGGTTTCATTAGACCCTTGTTTACATCGCAGATCACTTTGCAAATGGGTATCAAGGCAGTACCCTGATTTATGTAAGCAAGCATGGGTTTTAGGGACTAGGCACTTTGTTCATGTAAGAGCCAGCATTGGGGTCCTGGGTGGCTCAGTAGGTTAAGTGTCTGACTTCAGCTCAGGTCATGATCTTGCGGTTTGTGTGTTTGGACCCCTGTTAGGCTCTGTGCTGACCGCTCTGACACACACACTCTCTCTCTCAAAAATGAATTAGCATTATAAATAAATAAATGAATGAATGAATGAATGCCAGCATTGCCCATTGCCTGGCACAAATGTGGTTAATGGTGGGAACAAACTAATTAATATTGAGTGATTAGAATTTTAATATATACTTAAAGTAGCCATTGTTTTGGCATGTTGGGTACAGAGAGATTCAGAGTATGGGTATCACATCCTAAACTGGGGAATGGTATTATGAGACCAGGCCATTAGACTCGAAGGTTGTGGAAGAATTAGAAGTCCTTCTTAGTTCTCAGAATTAAATGTACCTAATTCACTCATTTAGTCCTCTCTGCACCTAAAGTGTTTCATAAACCAGAGCACTGCCACATAACGTAATCAGGTGTTTGTAATAATCTGTAGAATAGGTAGGGCTTGGCTTGATCAAAGGGTAGGTCATGGCCGACTTCACATGGCTCGTAAGAGATGGAGCCTGTAACACGCAGTTCTGCTTGGATCTGTCACCCCACCATGCCACGGTTCTTTCTGATGTTCCTTATTAGCAAAGTGGGCCTTTATTTATTTGTTTTATTTTTATTTAAAAAAGTTTTTTAATGTTTATTCATTTTTGAGAGACAGGAGAGACAGAGTGCAGGCAGGGGAGGGGCAGAGAGAGACGGAGACACAGAATCCGAAGGAGGCTTCAGGCTCTGAGCTGTCAGCACAGAGCCTGATGTGGGGCTCGAACCCATGAACCATGAGATCATGACCTGAGCTGAAGTCTGATGCTGACTGAGCCACCCAGGTGCCCCTATTTGATATATATGTATATATATCTGTAACAGGTTGAGAACTGTTAAAATTTTACAATCATAGAGGAGTACCCAGGTTATCGCAGTTTTAGGAGTGAATGCAACAAGAAGAAAACCATAAAAGCAAAGGTTTTAAAATATGTAGCTACATCTGAGATACGGGATCACATATATAAACTCTGCCATTGCACAGTACTGTTTCACCGAGGTGAAATAATAAAACTTCAGTGCATATCTGTCATCTGTAAATGCTCTGAAGTAAAGTAAATCAGTTAGTAGTTTTTCTAAATTTTCTCAAAATTGTTTGGATTTGGCTGTATCTAATACAGTCTTTTTTTAAAAATTTGTATGCCCTATGATTTCTGTTTTTATATGGATTCAATTAATTATAGATAGTATTTGTGTTAGCATACAAAGCTGTACATACGACTCTTTTGAAAATAAAAGGAGTATAAAGTTATTGTTAAAGCACTTGAAACAATGAGAGGATATGTTGAACATTTTTTATGTACAAAGCGCTGTAATGAAATGTTAACAAGACTTTAAAAATGTGGTTCTACGTGAAGTTTAGCCTCTAACTACTTTTTCAAGTTCTTCTGACCTCACCTGAGAAATCATTGAATTACTTAAATTTGTTTGTTTTTCCTTACAGGTAACTTTCGACCAACGTTCCCCAAGAGCAAATTTCTAGAATTGAACAAAAGCGTTTCCACTGGGTTTCGCCTGTAAGAAAAAAAACATACCCGAGCACATACAGCTTTTTAATAGCACTAACCAATGCCTTTTTAGATGTATTTTTGATGTATATATCTATTATTCAAAAAATGATGTTTATTTTGAGTCCTAGGACTTAAAATTAGACTTTTGTAATATCAAGGAGGACGCTTAAGTTGAAGCTGAGCTTTTGATGCCAGGTGCAATCTACTGGAAATGTAGCACTTACGTGAAATATTTGTTTTCCCCCGTTTTAATATGAACCGATCAGTAGTACCAAATAAATCTCCCAATTAAAGATTATTGTGACTTCACTGTATATAAACAGATTTTTATACTTTATTGAAAGAGGACACCTGTACATTCTTCCATCATCACTGTAAAGACAAATAAATGATTATATTCACAGACTGATTGGAATTCTTTCTGTTAAAAGAGCACACATAATAAATAGCCTCCCCCGCCCCCTTGGGATTCCTGATTTACAGTCAGCTGTGATCCCTGGGCCTTAGGTTTCAAATGGAGGTGGTAGAGAATAGTTCATGCATTTGCAATACGCCTCCGAATAGCGTGAAAACTGTGTCGCTTTCCCCTGAATTCTCAGTTGCCATCTAGCATGTGTCAGGGTTTTGTTTTTGTTTTTTTTTTCTTGCCTGTGATTAGTACTTTTGTTAGTTTTATAAAAATAAAGCATTTCCTTCCCTTGGGCGTGAGTTAGGTACACAGGTACCCTTTGGATGGTACTGGAAGTCCATGGCTGTTGTTTTTTCTAGAACAGTTAGTGTTTTCTCATGTCTGCTGGCTTACTGAGTTAACAGGTGCAGGTTAGACCCTTTGCTCCAGAGAGAGGCAACTTTCCAGGCAGAGTTGCTTAATGAGCCAGATTGTAATACTTTACTAATCAGTCCCCGGCCTCCACAGTATTATTTTGTTGTTGTTGTTGTTGTTGTTGTTGAAACTCTCAAGTGTAACTTCATTACCACTTAAATTCTTCGATACCTATTTACTACAACTGGCACAGCATTATTAAATGAGTTTAAAAAGCAAAAACCTGGGGCGCCTGGGTGGCGCAGTCGGTTAAGCGTCCGACTTCAGCCAGGTCACGATCTCGCGGTCCGTGAGTTCGAGCCCCGCGTCAGGCTCTGGGCTGATGGCTCAGAGCCTGGAGCCTGTTTCCGATTCTGTGTCTCCCTTTCTCTCTGCCCCTCCCCCGTTCATGCTCTGTCTCTCTCTGTCCCAAAAATAAATAAACGTTGAAAAAAAAAATAAAAAGCAAAAACCTATTTAAGTTAATCTGATGCCAAGGAAAAGGAGGGAGTGGTTGTAAGCAAATTTGAAGATATTTTGGGAAATAATAGCTTTCTACAGGGAGGGTTTATGTACTTCTTCACTCTGAGTTCTTTTAAAATTAGACCAAGAAATGATGTGGTCCATGGTGTGACCAGTTCCATATAAGTGTCACCTGTACCTTTTATTACCACTACCTCCAGCACCCTTCCAGTTCCTGAGGAAGGGAGGAATAATAGTCAAAGCAATACAACTGGCTAGGTTTGGGCTGCTGTCTCTCTGGACCTTATGCCAAACTATATAAGTAACACCTTCTTGGAATTCCTGATTTATAGTCAGCTTTGATTTCTGTCCCTTACGCCACCAGCTTCCTCAGAGCATTCTTAACTGGCAAATGAGCCTGGATACTTGGCAGACTCTGGGCAGACTACTGGCCAAGGATGCCTCCTCTGGGCCCATCAAACTGCCCCAAACAAGGTGGCTGTGGGAAGTCAACATTGATATCTTTTCAAGAACTGGTGTAGCTACTTAGAATGGATGTCCAAAGGCTTTTCTTAGGTTCCCCCGCCCCAAGTCCATGATTTCTCTTCTGTAATTAAGCTTGGGGTAACTTCACCTTGGTGATCATATGTTCTTTTTACAAAGCTATCCAACCAAGATATACATGCTTTTATAAACAGTTTTGGTAAAAGCAAAAACACAATGTACACACGTATAAAACTTTGATTTTTGTTCTTATATACTTTGCTCAGGTAGAGAACAAGGTATGAAAGCCATTACATGATGTCCAACTGGCGACCATCTTATAAGTCCGGGTCTTCCCAAGATATCCACAGGATAACATGTCCAGAATTAAACATTCATTATCTTATTCCCCAAATCTACCACCGTCCTGCGTCCCCTAACAAGGGTAGAAGCAAATCATCCCATTCAGTTGCTCAAAACAGGTGCCCTCGAGTGGTCCCTGTTCCCTTGCTTCCAATGTCCTGTCAGTCCTGTTATAACTATCAAATGCCCTTCTCACACCCATACCTCTTCATTCCCGCAACCACTGCCTTCATGCAACTCCTTTCCTCTCCACTGGACTTTGAGTGGCTTCTTTCTCCCTCCCTCCCTCCTTCCCTCCTTCTGTCTCCATCCCTCCTCCTCCATATGGTCATCAGAATGGTCCTCAAATGTGACTGTATCATTTCCCTACTCGAAGTTTCTCACTTCTCCATGTAATTTTTAAGAATTATTTTAAGAATTTTTAAGAGTGAGCACTTTGAAATGAAGAGAACCTGTGTCTGAACCTTGGTTTTTGCCATTTGTGTGACTCGTCAGGTGACTTAATCTCCTTGAGCCCTGTTCCTCCTCCATGAAATAGGAATAATACTACCTCATAGAGTCGTCGTGAGGACTAAATGAGCTACTGTTTATAAAGCATTTAGCACAGTGCCTGGTGCATAGTGAACGCTCCCGTCGGAGCATGCCTTTGTCATAACCCCTGCAGGTGTCAGTTTTATGTCACTTCCAAGAGGCATTTTCTAATAACTGTAACTACTCTCCGCCCCTGTAATATTCGTTTTCTGCCTCAGCACTCTGTTTATTTCCTTTGTAGAAATCTTCTCAATCTGTATTTATTTGTTGACTTTTTGTCTATCTCTTTACTAGAATGTAAGCTCCACGAGAGCGAGGATGTATCTGTCTTGTTCCCTGGTACAACCCCAGCATTTAGCCTAGTGCCTGGTACATAGTAAGCACTTATTAAATGTTTGTTGAATAAATGGATGAATGATCAAAAGGCTCTCCATGATCTGATCCCTGCCTATTTGTCTAGGTCATCCTGCCCCTCTTATCACCTTCAGCTCAAGAAAAACCACATTACTTGGTCCTTCTGAGTGCCCCTTGGGCCTCTATGTCTTTGCACCTGTCATTCCCTTTGCCTGCCTGTCTACATGGCAAATTCCTGGTTACTGGTCAAGTCTCAGCTCAGTGGCTACCTCCTCTGTGAAGCTGTCCCTGATTTCTCCAGCAAGATGTTCTTCCCTCTTCCAGGTTTCCCCTGCACTCTGTAAATACCTCCACGGAAGCACTTTACTGTATTGTAAATTTGTTTGCATGTCTGTTTCCACTTTTAGACTGTAAGCACCGTGAAAGCAGAGATTGCCTCTTTTCATCTTAATGTCCCCAGAGCCTAGCACAGTGTCCAGCACATAGCAGTTTTGTCAATAAATATTTATTGGAATGAATCTGTAAATGAACAAAGAGCCTTGCAGTTGAAAAAGTGTTGCGAGACGAATGTATTATCAAGGAAAGGAATGCCCCTGGTGGCTTCCAGTGTATTTCTTTTGTTCTAGAAGAGAGATCTTGAGAGCATTATGTAATCTCGCTGAATATAAGAGTACTTGTTTGAATTTGAAAGATAAGTTGAGTAATAGAGATCTTCATAAATGATTGCAAAAGATATCAAAAAGCTTTGTGATCTCAAATGCTACAAAGTCCAAAATAAATATTTGCACTATTAGTATTTCCATAGTCAATGCTATGCGAAAAGTGTACAGCAATAAATTTTGAAGCTTTAAAAATGTTTGTGTAAGTCATCTTCAATGACTTAATCCATGAAACACATCTCTGGCCTGTGTTTCCTGGACGCAAGGGGCTTTAGATGGGGTTTAGGGCCCCAAAGCTTTCAGAGCTTACTCAGTGACACCACTCCCATTTGCGAAGACATTTGCTTAGTCGTGTGCCGCGGGGATGTCTACTGAGCAGAAGGGCTGAAAGCTTCTCCACAGAATCAGAGGGAGGCCAACTACACATTGTGAGGCCATAGCTTCCAAGCCTCTGCCAGGGCTAACATCGCTTCGTTGTCCTGCCTGCCTTCACTCCTGGGATGCAGATGTGACCTCTCTACAAAATCTACTCCAGTGAATGGCCTCCACCGAAATTCTAGTTCCATGAAGGCAGTTCCATCAGGCACTTACACAGGATTAGCTAGGAGTAGCTGGGGGATTGGGAATTGGGGTAGTGAGCTACCAATCTGCATGTCTCAAAGGGTCTGCGGTGAACTTTGAAAATTTACACACTGATTTCTCTAGAAGGGCATGTGTCACTCTGTCAATCACTCGGCTTTTGTTTTGATAGCAGGAGGACAAAAGTTATTTCATTTATACAGCATTTCATAATTTATAGAACACTTTCACCCCCATTAATGTCATGTTTGAATTTTAACTTACATTTAAGCTATGAAATATGCACATGTTGTCCCCATGTAAGAGCCGAGGAGCCTAAGAAGCAGGTTAAATGACTTACTCAAGCCAGAAAGGTGCAGTGGTGGGAATTTGAATGCAGAGGTCTTCTGTTTCTAGAATGCCATGCAACCTTCCGATGCCCTTCCCCACTTGGGTTTCAAGCTGCATTTCTTTCTGTGACAGAGAACAACACGGTATGGTTTATTAAGTACAGCGTGACTGTGGCCTGAAAGCTTATATAGGGCAGAGTGATTTTTTTTTTTTTTTTAATAGGAAACCTGCTTCTTTTATGTGGGAGTAGTCAAAGCTTTTCCAGTGATCTCTTCTGCTGAGCAGTCTTTACCAGGATTACTTCTCTTTTATAAGAGGTGGGAACAGGTGCAGTTTCCTAGTCACAGAATGTTGGGAGTTATTTTGATCTGCAGGGGGCTGTTAGCGTTTTCTTCCTGCTGTACTACTTTCAGTTTTTTGCTTCATGAACAAGATGCTGTGAGACGTCCAGCAGCAAGATGCAATGGGCGCAGGTCCTGGGGAAGGGGTTTGAAGTGGGGTGTATCTACACGTGTGACTTGGGCATGCATAAAAGCATTCACCAGCCTTGGGAAAAACTCTGGCCTTTTGATAAGTGCTCGCGTCTTATCCTTTTAAGATCTAAATTTTTGAGTGTTTTATGATACACATCTTAGTAGAGCAGTACATGTAGGTAATTTATAAGTAAATTCCATAAATAATTGGGATATATGGTTTTGTTTCTGAAAGGGTTTCTAAGTTAAAAGAGTTTTGAGACCACTACCCTGGTGCA